ATAAGTGAAGACTAATCTTATCTCTTCAGTACACATTAACAACACCAGCTCCTCATGGAAGAAACTCCCACACAAACTAAAACACCTTTTGAAAGCTCTGCCATATCTTATTATGTAGTTAGTAAACATCCAATTGTATCGCAAATTCTACCCCATCTTAGAGGTCATCAAGTGCTTAGCCATGTTGATGGATCAATTCCATGCCTTACCCAGTTTATCACGACTGGTTCAACCAAAACTCTCAATACGTATTCTTGGCAGCGACAAGATCAACTATTATTGTTTAGACAACGCTTGAAGCATCCTACGCTGCTCATTCTTGAGCGCATATTCTTTAACTTCGTATGAAGTTACAAGCCCTCAAGAAGGGTCCAGATTACATTCACAAGTACTTTTATAAATTATTGTGAGACTACTCAATCCTACCTCACGATCTACTCGTAAAAACCCTGTCTCTCTCTCTCTCATCTTTCTCTTATTTCTCTCTCGAAGAAAACCCAATTTTCTTTGAAGAGAAACCGTCGATGTCATCAATCACCCAAATCACCGAAGACCACCTCAAATTTATGAAGCTTCTGGATTTCATCTAAAAGCCCTTGGCAATACACCACAAAGTCAAAGACTTCTTAAAGTGCAAAAGTCCTTCACGTGTAGGACATGAGGACCAACCAAGAGAAACCAAATAAAAATAGAAGACCAACCAATCATCAAATAGTTTTGCAATGTTTAAATCCTAATCAAACACAAAACCACTAGCCTATCCTTCATGGAGCATCACATCGCATCGAACAAATAGTATAACCTGAACAAAATTCGAGAAAAAAAAATGTTGTATTGTATTTTCCCAAAAAAGTGATTTGATTGATAGAATTTTGTATGATAGTTTGTGTCAGAATTGAGAAATTCTATTGCTCATAAGAGGAATGTTTTTATGTGATGTTAATGATTTGTAGTTCTAGAATATTTCAGTAAAAGGAATTCAGCTATTCCAATTTCATCTTTTAATATTATAATATCACATGATTCAATGAGTCAAGTCTACTTGCTTTTTTCATTTGTTTTTTTTTTTTTTTTGATTTCTAATCTTAAGAATGGATTTGATTGGGATAATGAAAAATAGAAATATTTAGTAATTTAAGAGACGGATTATCATTATTGAAATATATTCAACCAACTCCAATTCTTTTACCAATTGAAGAATAAAACTAAATGGATCAATTCTTTTGTCGATTTACAAAATTGTCATGAAAAACACTTTTATAGAGCTTGAGGTCTTCTTTCAAATGTCATAAGAATCAGATCAATTGGACATAGGGGGAGGGGCAAATTTATATCCAAAATACTAGAACTCTCAAATATTTTTCTTCCCAAATTTTCTTGTGTTTAGCCCCAAAATACTTCCAAACTTTTTTTTTTTTCAAACCTCTCCAACTATCTTAAGTGATCTTGGAACACTTTTGAGATTTACATTGAATTGCAATATCTCAATAAATAACTATTCTTGATCTCCTACATAATAAAGTACTTCAGAAACTAAAACTATCATTTTATCTCTCGGAACTGCTATACAAGTTGAACGTTTATCCCAAGGTTTTGCGATCTCTCGAATTCAATAGTAACGTTATTTTGACCTAAATTTTTTAAAAAAACTACCTAGTTACTCTTATCATGTTTAAATGTCTCCGAAACTAAATTTGATCTGAAAAGTCCAAACAAATGAAACTCAAACTTCATGACTATTTTTTCAACAATGATTCAAAATTTCTATCATCATTTTAATTACTTTAGAAGAACTCTTAAAATAATATTATTCATATTTAAGTATAGTCTTACAATTATAATTACAAATAATTCGCGTGCAATGCTCTAGATACATTATTAACCGATATAGATATAATTTAGGACCAACGGAGTTAAAGTGAGAATGACAATTAGCACATTAAAAATTCTTTAAATTTTCAATTTTGGACCCCCAAAAATTAACATTCTCACATTTCACCCTTAATCTTATGAAAAGGTAGCCATGTGGTCTGTTTGAATAATATTGAGTACAAGAATATCAATTAAAATACTTAAGATCAAGTAACAGACCAATAGTTGTATATAAAAATAAGAAAATATATAAAATACAACAAAAACTTGCTGAACAAAGCAATATAGAGAGGCATTCTCTTGTTTTGAAAGGTGTTAAGACACTAGTGCAATTCCAACCATCATCTAATTTTAGGTATTGCTCTCTTTCTTAGAATTCTTCTTATTGAGAGCCCAATAATTAGTTTTAATTAGTTTTTATTCTTTAATGGGGGTATTGTTTTAAGCACTATGCTAATGGATTGGAAGTAACTTATTCTTGAACCCACCTTATCCAATCTTTCCCTAGCTTTGATTACTACAATTTAGGCTTGGTTCTGACCCTGAAAAAACTTTAAGGCCCGAGTGAACAACGCGCTGCTAATTAAACCCACTTGATGTGGGTTAAATTTTGGGTTAGGGTACTATTACATCAAAAGACTATTTTACCCCTCATAAAACTCTAAGAAGTAGGCATTGTGGATTTTTTTTGTCATTTTCATAGTTATAACTTCATTCAATATTTCATCCAAATAAAATATAATACGGGATGAGTGGGACCCACTAATTATACAATACTTAGACCAAATAAGGGATGAGAAGGTAAGTGGATGGGGTATGGGTTAGATGAGGTTGTCCACTCTGAGTCAATCACAATATCTATATCTATACTATTTTAAAAAGTAAGCATATTTGAAAAATATTATTTTTTCACTTTTATCCTCTAAAATCACAATTATCTCATTCTTACCCCTCAACATTAAAGCCAAAATAAACCTAAACCTCCTCATAATCCCAAAAAAAAAAACTTACGCCTCCCAATCTTCTTTCTCTCCTTGATCGTTTCATCTTCATTTTCCCCTCACTCCAAATAAACATATTTCTTTCTTTTCTTTACCTCTTCTAAAAACTCTCGATGTTTCCCTCTTTCTCCTTATCTTTCTCTACTATTCTCAGTAAGCGTTACTCCACGCATTCAATTCTCTTTGCATCTCAACGTTTGATGCATCTCTACTTTTTGTGGTATTGTGGTATATATATATATTGTGAATTTATCCCAAATTTTATGATACCAACAAAATTGAACTTTCACGGAGAAATCAGACATAAGCACGCCATGTATATCAGTATCCAGAAGAATATTTAGAATTTGGTTACTGTTAAAAAGTCTAATAAATTGCATGTTTAGAGTAATAACAATAAAAAAATGGTGTTATAATTATAATGAATATGAATTACAACCAAACACACAAAAAAAAACCTATGCTTCCCAATCTTTTCTCTCTCCCCAATCGTTTTATCTTCATCTTCCCCTACTTCAAATAAACCTATTTCTCTCATTTCTTTACCTCTTCCAGAAACTCTCGATGTTTCTCTCTTTCTCCTTATCTTTCTTTGCTGCTCTCAGTATGTGTTACTCCACGTATTCAACATTTGGTGCATCTCTACTTTTTGTAGTATTGTTCTTCCACTGATATCTATTTATAATTTTTTTTTTTTTGCGAATTCATCCCAAATTTTATGATACTAACAAAATTGAACTTTCACAGAAAAATCAGACACAAGCACACCACGTATAATAACATCTAAAAGAATAATTAGAATTTGGTTAATGTTAAAAAGTCTAATAAATTGCATGTTTAAAGTAATAACAATAAAAAAATGGTGTTATAATTATCACGAATATGAATTACAACCAAACATTTTAGTGAAGACGTTTGTTAGACATGTTAATTAGTTTTGATTGACTTTACCAGTATAGTTGTAATTAATAAATTGAAGAAGGAGACTTAAACAATTTTCTTAATGGTACGTATGTGTGCTGCTTTTTAATTTGAAAAAAGGGATTTCACTTTTCATCAACCAATTTGTAGGTTGAACTATTGGTCCAGGCCCATCCAAAATTTTCAAGAATTTTAGATGTATCCATCATTATTCATTTGTCATACATATAAATTGTTATCGTTAATTGTGTTAATTTGTNGAAGACATTTGTTAGACATGTTAATTAGTTTTGATTGACTTTACCAGTATAGTTGTAATTAATAAATTGAAGAAGGAGACTTAAACAATTTTCTTAATGGTACGTATGTGTGCTGCTTTTTAATTTGAAAAAAGGGATTTCACTTTTCATCAACCAATTTGTAGGTTGAACTATTGGTCCAGGCCCATCCAAAATTTTCAAGAATTTTAGATGTATCCATCATTATTCATTTGTCATACATATAAATTGTTATCGTTAATTGTGTTAATTTGTATTGTGATAATTAATTGCTTGTATTTGGTCTGACCTCCACTATGTAATCGAGTCATCAGTTTATGGATCTATAATAAAAATATAGGTTTTGATATTTGTATGTTACCTAAAAAAAACTACAAATTATTATATTAATTTAAAAAAGTTCATATGCAACACACATGAATATTGCATTCTTATAAATTTCAGTATGATCATTTAACTATAATTTGACCAAGCAATGTTTTTTTATTAAAATAGTAAATAAAAATTATAATAACTCGAAATAATTCATGTGCAACGCACGTGTGTACCAACTAGTTTAATAAAAAAACTCATAAGAGTATAATTAAAAATTGGGCAAATTGTACTTTATATTTTGAAAATATTTAAAAATTCTTAATTTATTCATTTAAATTTAAATTTAAATTGTACATTCTATATGCTAAAAGTGTTGTTATTTTCGTTAATTTTTGTTGTTTATTTTGTCAACATTAATAGAGTGGTGTTTGACAAAATTAGCAACAATAACTAACATAAAAGGACACATTACTATATTTTTAATAGATTAAAGATATAATGTAAAAAATTTAATTTTTAAGGGTTCAAAATAATTTTTTTAAAATCTTTTAGGGTATAAAATGTGATTCCTAGAGAATTGGAAGGTGTCAAGTACTAGAATTGCCCGACGAGCAGTGGCTGTAGGATTTTTAGCGGGCCAGCTGAGCTTCGCCACTTTGAAACCCTAGTTGAGCCCGGTTCGAACTAAGATAAAATCCTCCTCGTCTTCCTCATCGTTTTCCTCTCCTCTTCTGTTTTCTCTGATTGCTGGAGAGAGAAAATTGTAGTTATGTCTGACGAGGAGCACCACTTCGAATCAAAGGCCGACGCTGGAGCATCCAAGACCTATCCCCAACAAGCTGGTACTGTCCGAAAGAACGGTTACATCGTCATTAAAGGCCGTCCCTGCAAGGTATATCTATACGTATGTTTATATGTGTTGTTTGTATTGTCAATCTTTCTTGCTCTACAGTAAATGCAATTTGTGAATTTTGTTGCGGTCTGTCATGTTGGAGTTTGTGTTTAGATTTGGATCTCTGTGAATTCTGTAAAGTTTGTGATGTGTGTATATCGATATGCGTGTTGAAATTAACAGTCACTTTATTTGCGTTTCTGAAGACTGTAACTTCTGATATGTGTTTTACTTTACTCATCTATATACTCATTATTCATTTATGTTTTGGAGCCTATGTTTTCATGAAATCTTGGTTGTTACTATTGACTGCCCCTCGATAGAGAACCTTCAAAAAGACTGCCCTTTTCACCGTAAAATTTCTCGAAGGCTATTTTGTTGCCTTAGATGAAGGTTGGGAGCAGATAAAGTTATTTTTGATGACCAGTGCAGTTAATTTTGATGATCAATTGGACTTGGATCATCTCAATTTCAAAATTTGTCAAATTCAGTTGGGTTTATTTTTTCATCAGTAATTTCAGTTGGGTTTAATCAATTAGATGTGGTGGTTCCCTGTAGGTAATAATAGGACCTATAGAAACTCACTATTGGGACCAATTGAATTTTATTGTGGATGACTGAAATTTCAGAGGATCTAGATCTTGTTTTTATTGGAGGCCCAGGTGACATAAGCACACCAAAACTTGGGCACATTTGGAGTATTGAGATCAGCTTGAACTTGGGTTGGTTTAGGGCCTTGAGATTGACTCATGAGATAAATGAGCTCAATAAAATATGTTGCAGAGCTTGAGCAACCTGCTATTCGCCTCGATTCTACTTGTTTTCACCCCTACAATTGTCTGGATTTGTATTTTTCCCAATCAAGTTTCTTTCTATTAGAGCAAATTTAACAAGAATTGATATTTGAAAGGATAATAGTCAAAAGGCACTAGACAAACCGCTGGCACTCTCAGCATGTTTTCAGGAACTTGTAGATTTTATCAATAGATGATTCTGGTGTAAGAGTTCTTTCATCGTTAAGAGTATTGCATGAAAGAAACTGTAATCATTTGGTTGATAGTTGCAAATTATTTCTTTGGGTCTATGTGAAAAAACTAATGCTATGTTTGGTGATATGAAGTTGAGGTGTTGGACTTGGAATTTAGATATTTGAACTAGTTTTGTCTCAAATACATTTCCAAGGCTCAAATCCCATTCTCTCAAATAAACTGTAAATGTCTTCGAATTGTTTTTTTTTTTTCATGCTTTGTCCAAGCTAGCTTGATTTTTCAAATAAGTTATCTAGTTCTAAATTTCAAAAGAATTTGGTTGGAAGCGCAAGAAGTTCCAAGACTTTGTTTACTAGTGATGATGCTTGTCCAAAAGTGTTCCCCTATTTCTCCCTATTTAATATTTGTTGTTTTTTTTTGTCAGTAATTGTATTATTTAGAATGGAATATCAGGATGGTCTAACAATGTTGAAGACAAGGCAAGGGCCTTATGATAGGGAATATAGTTGGACGTGTTTTCTTTATGGTCTAAGTCATCTATTGAGATGGCTTAATGAATTAGTTCTCTCAAAATGCAAATTTTAGATTGGCTTATTAGACATCCTTTATCTATGTTCTTGGCAATGATTTAAATTTCATTTTGAAACGATCGAAGCAATTGAAACATTTTCATGTTTATGGAAACCAAAATGAATAAATTATTAAATATTAAAATTCTTGTGTTTCGAGGTATTTTGATACATTTTGACCAATGTTTTGGAAAATAAATTTGTAATTTTTGTTTCGATTATGTATATGAAATATTTCCGAAACATTTTCGAAATGTTTCCGTTTCCTAAATGATCAAAACAATACAATAAAATAAAATTTTCATCCGTGGTCTTTGGTGGTTACACTTTTGATTAGACAATAAATGTCTAAAACACTTAGAACTAGAAGAATATGGCCCAAGTACTCTCTCTCTTTCTTTTGTGTGTGTGTGTAATAGGTGGACCCTTAACTCTTGAGTGTTGTTTCACTTGGTTATGTTCAAGAAGAAGGCATGGGAAAAAGTGTTAGGGAGTTTAATAATATCTATGCCTTTATTTAGTTGACATTTGTTGGAGACAAAAAGATAATTGCAAATTACTGATGAAAAGAAATATAAATTTTTTTTTTTAATTTTTTCTGCCAAAAATTTGTAAAATCTATCAATGAATGCTTCATTGTATTTCAATGCCTGTAAACATAGTCAACTTTTAATGAGGTCTTCTTAGGCAAATATACCCTTGAAGAGTCATGACACTTGTTTGCTAACAATGAGAGGCTACTGTGTTAGATTTATTGGAGTAGGAAGCAATTGCTTATGTCAGACAAAATCATAACTAATTATAATAAAATAGTGGCTTATCCAATGTGGAGACCTCAGATGAAGTTTTTTATGCTCATTAATTGTTCATTAAGCATTCCCTTGTGTAGTTTTTATGTGCTTATGTAAAAATTATTTGAACATGAAAAAATAAATTATTTCAATTTTTTTGATGTGATTGTTGAACAGGTTGTTGAGGTCTCTACCTCCAAAACAGGCAAGCATGGACATGCCAAGTGTCACTTTGTGGCGATTGATATTTTTAATGGCAAGAAGCTTGAAGATATTGTCCCATCATCTCACAACTGTGATGTAACCTCCTTTATTCTATGACTTAGTTCAAAATGCTAAAGTGTTGTATATGTAATATTCTTTTTTGGCTCATTTCTTTGCAGGTTCCTCATGTTAATCGTACTGACTATCAGCTGATTGACATCTCTGAAGATGGTTTTGTAAGTGATTTTCTTAGTGAAGATTATTTGGTCAAGTAGATGTGTTTTGTAATCATTATGTCGCCCTTGATGATCACATGGCATAAATTTGGGTCATGTATGAATTTACCCTGATGTTGCCCTTTTTTCGAGAAAACAACTTGGGTTTTTAGAGTAGATATTGTGATGGAAATAATTAGTTCCCCTTTTTTTGGACCTACACCACAAGATATCGTACAATGCTTTATTGCGACCATGGATAATTTCTGTAGTATTCCTAGTGACACGTCCAAGCCATTGAAGACTATTGTTAGCCCATTAGCTCATGGGCATGGCTAAGGCATGCGGGTGGCTTGCCAATGGCACCCTGTGCTAAAAGCCAAGGTGTGTGCTTAGCTAAACACTCCCTTTGTGCAAGACAGACCCAAAGGACTTGGTTGCGTGGTGTACTTGATGGCAAAAGTGTCGGAAATGAATGGTTTGTGCGGCAGTGGTAGCTTTGTCAATAGGGCATTATTGGAAAATCTTCATATGGCTATTATAAGAAGAGGAGGAGGCGGCTGCCCGGCTAGAAACCCTTATCCCCCTTAACCTTGATGCCAGTGCTTTGGCACAATTCCAAGAATGCTTACCATGTGTGAGGCAAGCATGTAAAAGTCCGAGAATCGAGAAATGTGGGACTGAGGCATTAGTGGGACCTAGTGACGGTAATGGACCGAGGAAAACGAGTATTCATACAAATTCGCTCCATTTGGACTGAGAATGTATCATACTTATTTGATGGTAGACGTATATGATGATACTCGCATAAATTTATGCGGGGATGGACTAAAACTCATCCTTGCCCTGCTTTTCCCCGCCCGCTAAACCAATGACATATATATATCTTATGATCATGTGGATTGCGGTTTTCTTGATTTTGTTTTAGGGGCAAAGGAGTTCCGAGAAAGATGGAAGAATTGGATTACGGGTTGTTTAGAGTTTATGAATTCCTCAGTCATTTTAAACGGGAGACCGAGGGAAAAAAATTAAGGCATCTAGAGAGTTGAGATAAGGTGATTCTCTATCCCCATTTTTGTTAAAACTAGCAACACACTACGTGCATTGCACATGAACAATTTTTGTACATAAAAAAATTAATAAAAGTTATTAGGTATATGTGTGCTTAAATTAAATATTATCTTAAGTTTACCAAACTTAATTTTTTATTGTTCACTTTGTGGGATGAAAGGGGATACATTTGCCGACTCTGTGGGCGGTTTTGAGCCATCAAGGGCTGATTCATGCGGTGTTTGTAAAGGCACAACTACTCCAACAATGCAAGAGCATTTTTGATTGGTTTAGACAGCCTAGTGATTTGTGGGAAAATCACCCGGGCAAATATGATTGGTGCCAGTATATCCTAGCAGTTGGGATGTCAACTGCATTGGCTAATTTGGCCAAAACTGGGTGGTGCCAACATAGCTGTTGTAACTTCCATGAATGCATATAAATAGTAGTGCGAGGGTCTGTAGTCACCCAAAAGAGAAGGGAGAAGTTTTGTAATCGACTCTTAACGGGACTCCTTATACTTTCTGTGGAGAAAGTAAAAGGTTGGGACATTGTATTGTAACTAGTGTAGCGTGTTACTTGTCCAATAAACTGCTTCTGTTAGCTTCTTGGGTGGTTTGGCTGAGACCGAGTGTAGGATCTCAGTGCCATCACAAGATAAAAGTTCGTGTGTAATTTGACCATGGTTCAAGGTGTTGACTAAGTCTGATACGACTCGAATCGAATTCGACTCAGCCTCCTCTGATTCGATAATGATACACGATTCGCAAATAACAAGATATTAAGCTAAATCGGTGTCAGCTCGGTTACGACTAGGCCGTATCGGCCTAACTTGAAGTCATATTAGTCCAACTCAGACGATTCCGAACCGAGTTCACCCGATTCTCCTCAAACAACAAAAATAGCCAGAGAAAGAGACAAAGAGCAGAAAATAGAGAAACCCATATAACCCTTAATTAAACCCCTTTTTTGAGTTGTAAAATCAAAAGAAGCAATTAACAGAATTTACAAACAAAATTATAAAATAGAAACCTACAAACCGCGACTCCCACATTCCATGAATTTGTCATCATCTCCCAACTACAACCGATCGTTGAAGAAATCTTCACAGTGATCGTTGTTTGCTTTACAATGATCGTAGCTTATAGTCATCAGGTACTCATCTCTCAGTTTTTCTTTGTCGACAAAATCATCGAAGAACAGGAGGTGGAAGACGCAACTTACAAATGTGAGAGACAAAGAACAGAGAGAAGAATGAGTTTGAGTTTTTCTTTATTGAAAGAAAACAATTGGAACCTTCTTTGTCTTACCTATCTGCCACATGTTGCATTTTGATTGATTGTCCAGATATGCTTATCCTATTATCCCTTGTACAACTTATATTTGTACTGGTTTATGGATAGGCTTGTCTTTGTTTATTTTTGGGTCTTTTCATAAGCCCAATAGATTAGCATTGAATTGGATTTTTGTCAAAATTGAACAGAATTCTGTATATTTTACTCTGTGTTAAATACTAATATGTAAAATAAATATTTCCGGCAGCACTCTTGTATTTCATTTCACCATGTTTGTGTTATATAGATGACATATTATGGACATATGCTGCATGGATGTCATTGTTTTCATTTTTTTGATTTTGATTTTATTTTTCTAAAATTTTTTAAGCCTTCCATCAAGCATTTTGTGCATATCGTCTGATACCATGCTGCAACACCGCGACCGATGTGTATCAGTGCCCTCCGAGTAGAAGGCCGATACCGCGATCTTGAACCATAAATTTGACCCTTATGACAATTATCCATGTGTAATTTGGTAGTGCATCAGATTTTATGGCTTTAGTCAGAGGTTCTGGCACCAAAAGCCCGTTCATGAGAGTCAGGTGTAGAGGTTGCCTGCACATGAATCAATTTTTTGTATTATGTAAATTAAACTTTTGACTTTCTTGTAGGTGAGTCTTTTAACTGAAAATGGTAACACCAAAGATGACCTGAGGCTTCCAACCGATGAGAATCTGCTAAGCCAGGTAAATTACAATGTTCTCAAATATTACATGTGGCAGTATTTGGGTCTTATCCTCCCCCTCCCTCTTTCCTTGGTTTCTCCTTCCATCCATGTAGGAGGAATTTTATCTCTGATATAATCTTTATTCTAGAATGCATTCTTATTAATTTATTTCGCGATATCTTTATCTCTAACTTTTGGAAGACATGCAATTTAGTTTAGTTTCTACTCTGTTGGATAGCGAGATTCACTTCTTGCTTATTAAGTTGGAAATGTTACATACCTTACATGGGCCTGCCTGTCCATCAACCAATGAACCTCTATCCTTTCGTTCTGATTGACCAAGATCTTCAATTCTTACCTCTCTCTCTCTCTCTCTCTCTCTCTCTCTCTCTCTCTCTCTCTCTCACACACACACACACAAGTGTAATTGAGAGGACTCCATTCTTGTTCGAAACACTCACCTTATGCATCCTGTTATTAGTTCCTTTCGTGTTCTGGATGGTTTTAAAATATGATGGTCTAGTTTGTACATTACTCACCTTATGCATCCTGTTATTAGTTCCTTTCGTGTTCTGGATGGTTTTAAAATATAATGGTCTAGTTTGTACATTAATGTGTTGGGTAGTCAAAAAAATATTATAAATGGTTTAGTGGCCCCTTGTGGAATTTTTTCAGTGTGGTCATTCAAAAAGTGAAAATTTTACATATTCTGGGAAAAACAATTTTCAGCCTTGATATCTGTCATATATTTTGGATAAATTGACAATATCAATTTTAACTTCTCAAATCATAAGTTATCTTAAGTATGCGCCCTTTGTCAATTTGATCCATTACGTATCAATTTTATCAATTGGATCCTTGATATTTGAAAATCATGTTTAACTAGTCTGATCATGGATGTCCGTCTATTTTTATAACAGAATCACACCATGTGCTACTCACGCGACAGGTTTATGTTGGAATTTTGGGAAAAGCCCAAATAAAATTGGGTCAATGTCGGGTCAACAAAACGGTCAAATCTTTTCTCCCTGCAAACCGTCCCCCCACTCCCCACCACCCCCAAAATCTTCCCAGCAACTTGATGGTATTGATTAAACTCATCATTCATCTCCTCTATAGTGGTCTGCCAGGCGACCACCCTTGGTTGTTGCATTTTTTGTGCTGAGGTTGGGACACTCCAATCTCTACCCTTCCCTTTATCTCTACTCCAAACAGGTTGTGCTTAGTCCTTGGTTTTTGCCCATTTATTATGGTAGGTACCTTCACTTCACAGTTTCCCTAATTTTCAGTCGCCATACTTTGAATTTTAGGGTTTCAGATCCAAAACTAAAAAGAAAAACCCGGTGAAGAGTGTTCATAATTTAAGAATGAAAACAAAAAACGTTGTCAAATATCCCTCTCCCTGTCATAGTGGTTCTGTGTGTTGATTGCTGACAAATAGAAGAGAAAGGGGGAAGGAAAAGAGTGGTTGTTTGGGTTGGTCCAGATCGAGGTGCCTTTTTGCCCCAAATTTCCCCCCAAAACCTTGAGCAACACATGCGATGATTTTGTTACCAATTTAGGTGGATGTCAACAATTGGACTGATTAGACACAAATTTCAAACATTAAAGATTAAATTGGTAAAATTGATACTCGAGGGACCAAATTGACAAAAATGCGTACTTTAGGGACCAAAATTGTATTTAATCTTAAAGAAATTTAATACATTGATACTATTTTTTCCGGAAAAAACACGTAATACAAAAGCTTTTAATATTAAACACTAATAATTAGATCAAGAAGCACATTGAGAAATATACAAAACAATGATGCTTGCTACCTGGCTGGCAAATAAGCGAAAATTAGAACATCTAGAACAGAAATTATGCATGTTATCAAAAACATCAATAATTACTTTTTGTTCTCTTCTTCCCCATTCACTCCCAAAACAAACAAAACAAAAATAGCCTCGTCGCAAAATACTTGAAATTGCTGACAATAACAAAATCCACATTTAAAAAAAAAAAGCTTCACAAAGACCCATAAGATTATTAGCAAAACAAAATCTGATATCAAAATAACCCATAAACTTAGCTTATCAATAAGAAACAATAAGAAAAACTTGCATGGTAAAACTTTACTGAATCACTGTTAAATTAGTGTAACAAGTTAGTGTGAGTGTGACAACACAGGGATCAATAAACAAATTCGAGCTCCAATGATGAAGTAAAGGAACATTGATTGAGTTTCTGCTCAAGCAGATACAAAAATATGAGAGGAGTTTGTCAGGGTATCTGTGTGCAAAAACCAGAGAGAGAGAGAGAGAGTTGCTTGTGCATGAGGGAGAATAAAAGAGAGTTTTTCATAAGGAATGATCTGCTTGTCATACAAAATGTGTTTGTGTATAAATTCAGATCTCTCTCTTGGTAGAAGGTTTGTTTAGGTTGTTGGAGTGTTAACCAGACCATGTAATGTGACCAAGATTGGTTATAAGGTTGGGCATTTGAATTTAACTCCCCATGACTGATCTTTTAAATTTTCTTGTCAAACAAGTGGGATCACAACACCCACTGAAGTTTCTTAATGTATTGTAGGGTAAATTTTTCTCGGACCCCTAGCATTAGGTGAAATGACATGGAGACCCCCTTACATTTTCAAAAAGACAAAGCAACCACAATTGCTGTTAAAACCTTGCTGACGTTAACAATTTTGATAACATGACATTTTTACCCTTGCCTCGTGTTTGGAATTATATAAAAATATATCCAAATCTAGAACCAAATCCATTCCCAAACCCATGCCCATACCCTTTAAAACTCGTGACCCAAACCCCGACCTTCTTCTTCTTCTTCTTCCATCCACCCCTTCTCCAAATCCCCACACTAGCCATCCTGTCTCCCCCCACCCCTCTGCACATGCAACCAATCCCCCACCCTGCAACCCCTCTTTCCCCTCCCTTACCCCAACCCCATCTCTCTCTCTCTCTCTCTCTCTCTCTCTCTGGTTTAGTGCCTCAATTGGACAAATTCAGAATTCTCTGGTTTCTTAAGCATCAATTTGATAATAAGATTTGTGTAGTTGTTTGATTTCTTTGTTTTGTGCGCATGTTGGGTCTAAGAATTTCAAGGATTTTAGGCAGAGGTTTTCTTTGGGGTTTTGAATATTCGAGACTATTTGTGTGTGACCATGTGGTGGTGTTGGGCAGTGGCTTGGTGATTTAGTGTTTGTGTGCAAGGTGGGCAGTCTCTTGTTGTTGGGTGGCGGTGGTGCTCAATGGCTGTCGAGTTTCTGGCGGTTATGGGTGGTGCAGTGGAGGTGTTGTTGCAATGAGGTTTGATGTAGTTGTTGGAGGGGGAGAGAGAGAGAGNGGGGGGGGGGGGGGGGGGGGGGGGGGGGGGGGGGGGGGGGGGGGGGGGGGGGGGGGGGGGGGGGGGGGGGGGGGGGGGGGGGGGGGGGGGGGGGGGGGGGGGGGGGGGGGGGGGGGGGGGGGGGGGGGGGGGGGGGGGGGGGGGGGGGGGGGGGGGGGGGGGGGGGGGGGGGGGGGGGGGGGGGGGGGGGGGGGGGGGGGGGGGGGGGGGGGGGGGGGGGGGGGGGGGGGGGGGGGGGGGGGGGGGGGGGGGGGGGGGGGGGGGGGGGGGGGGGGGGGGGGGGGGGGGGGGGGGGTAGTGGTGCAGTGGCAATGGCGGTGCTAATGGGCGGTGATGATGATGGTGAAAGACAATTGTTAGTGCAGGGGTATAGTAATTGGGACAAAGAATTAATGTTCAACTTAAATTAATTATTAGAATTGTAATGCATTAACAATTCATTAGGTACTAATTGTTATATTTATAACTATTAAGGTATGAGGATAACTAATTCTTAAAATTATGATATAATGCAGTACTTAATTTTGTAGAAATAACTATTTATTTTGTGGATAAATTTTATTGTACTTAAAATTGAATAATCAGTGTTCAAATTATATTTGATTATGAATATTTTGGCTATTTTAGTTTGATTAAGAAAGAATAAGTTTGTGGAGGAGAGGGTGTGGATTATGAGATAGGTCAAAATTGTCTTCTTTATGAGCAAAATATTCTCAAAAATCTTTAGATTTGTTAGAGAAGGGTATTTTTGGAATTATAATTGTTTTGTTTGCTGATATCATTGTTGTCCGTTACTCAGATTAACACCGTCACATGGAAGGGGTCTACATGTTTTGACTTGTTGAAGAAAATGTGTGGCCGTGTTATTATTGCAATGTCAGGAGTGGTCGTATCATTTAAGCAAAAGTCCCCCCGGGGGGTTGTGAGAAATTTACACTATATTCTATATACAAAATCTCAAAATATGGGGATTGGGGTTAGCTGCTAATTGAATAAAATGTGTCTAAAAAAAAAACACTATAAGGTGGCATTATTTGATGTGTGCCTATAAAGTGGTCATATAGATTATAGAAGATATAGGGTAGTTAATGTGTCATTAGGTCAACCTACATGGCTGTGGTGGATTTACATTGGGGGCAATCTTGAATTTCTTTTGGATATATTTAATATTTTTAAAATTTGCACTCACTAAAATATTTGTAAAAATTTATGACTACTTTTATACTTGAATAATACTTTTGAGATCTAAAAAATTTGACCTAAAAATGTATTTTGATGTATTTCTAATGAAGAAGTCCAAGAGTTGTAATTAATATAACTGTAAGTCTACTTTACTAAAATAATATAATTAGAATAACGATAAGTCTACAGTACAAAAAAAAAATTTGAAAATTAAAAACTTTAAAGGTTAAGTTATAACTCTTAAGAAATAAGAAATAACTCTTTGAAGTTATTCATCATCGATTGTAAATATTGTGATGGACATAAGATGTTATGATCGATCACTAATACCTTTTAAAAGGTATAACTTTACTTTTGAAAGATATAATTTTCTTGATCAATCATAAAGTTTGAGTTATAATTTGGTCCCTGAAAGTTATAACTTGTACATATGTTGTTGCATCTTTTGCTATTGTATCTCTTTTGATGTCGTAGACTTACTCTTAGAATAATAATAATGAACCTTTTATCTGCCACGTCATTATGGCACTAGATAAGGTTACTTTTTATATTTTTAAGTGATTTTTCCATAAATTTCTTTCATATGTTTGAATGTCAAACAAGCATCACCAATTAATATTTGATCAATAAATCAGAAATTTAGAGGATATATGAACGTACTGTACGAAAAACCTAAATTTTTTCAATTTGCTGTTTGTCATGAATTTCCGTAAGTATATTTAAAATTTACTTGTGTAATAAATTATATTTGAAATAACGTATTTCGATTGATTTTTTAATATTGACAATTCAAAATATTTGTGATAAATTGAATAGTTTTAACATTATAATTAAATATAATAACTAGTCATAGTTTGCCCCCATTGCACATAAATCCTGGCTCCCCCCCTGCTTATGTTATTCTCAACAGTTCTTTATTCATTCTGGTTTGTTTTGGGTTTTTTTTTCCAGATTAAAGATGGGTTTGCTGAAGGGAAAGACCTTGTGGTTAGTGTCATGTCGGCCATGGGAGAAGAACAAATCTGTGCCCTCAAGGACATAGGCCCAAAGAACTAAATTATGTGTCTCTCTTGTGGATATGCATGCTGCTGCTGCATGCATGAAAATGACCTCTACCTCATCGAAATTGTCTTGGTACCACAAGTTTCATAGTGAAACTTATGAATATTGACATGCTTGTCGTTTTTTCTTTTCTGAAGATTTGCTTGGGTTTAGACAGAACGTTACGATTTTTTTTTTTTTTTTCTCTTACTATCAATTTTAGGGTTTTGGATGTTAGTATGTTACTACTATGCGGGTTATAATATTGTTTTGTGTGTCATAAAATATATTTGGGTGTTTGGTGCGGTTGTATAAAAGGTGGCATGGGTGTTTGGTGCGGTTGTGTGACGACTATTGAGAAGCTATGGTAATCCAGTGAGTTCATGTTATTTTGTTGGCTGTTAGGTGATCAAGCTGCATGGCTATGGATGATAAGGGTATGATATGTTACGGGTACAATGATATAACAAAACTTAAAAAAATAGGATATGAATATGACCATGATATGTCTACAATAAAAGAAATCATAACCAACATTTTTCTAGTTTGTTTGCTTAGAAATAGTTTTGAGAAGAAAAGTAAGGTTTATTGGGATTTTTTAATTATTTATTCAAAAAATCAAGGAAATTGCACGAGCTCACAGATTCATTATACATAAAGGAGCTTATTAGTAAAATCTGGTCTATAGTTGAAGTTCTTGTTAACCAACAATCATTGTAAATATTCCTTTTGGTAGGATTGATATTAAGTTATCTACTATTTATTTTTTGAGACCCCAGGGCCTTGGAAGAGGTAGTTATTGGTAAGTATCAAAAGTTTTTTAAATTTTCATATTGAAGCAATAATCGATGAAAAGGACGAGGATCTGTGGAGGGTGATTGGGTTTTATGGGCATCTCAAGAGACGAGAAATCTTTTGGCGGGGGGGTTGGGTGGGACTAGACGGACGTGCTTGGCAAATTGCTGATTATCTAAAGGTTATTGATGATTGTGAGCTGGTTGATGAGGGATCTCTAGCGTACCCATTCACTTGGTGTAATGGTAGCTTGTCCCCTGTTTTGCTCACTAATGATTTTTGATGGTGTTCGAAATTAATTGGCCAAACTTGTAAAACAGGATCGGGCGAAGTCTGATATGTGGGTGGATATCTGAGTAGGAGAGTGTGTATGAAGGTGTATGCTATGAGTGATCAACGAAGTAAAAATGAAGTATAAGTGGTTTGTTTTAGTCAAGAACGAAGGTTACATTCATTGTAAGGGAGACTTTTGCTCTTTGAGGATTATATTAACTTGGAGAAGGCGATGAATGTTACACAGAGTTTGGCTCGAAGCCGTTACAAGGTATTACTTAATTCCCTCTTTTTTTTTTAGTCTATAGGTTGCCTCTTCGGTACCCCGTAGCACCCTTAGTTATTTATACTACTAATGGCTAGGGTTTCACATTTGTCCTTCTTAGCTGATCCTTTGATCCCCTTTGTCTCTGTCTTCATCTGGGCACTATAGTCCCCAGAACATTTCTATGTCCACTACTTACAGTCTGTTGTACTTGATCTGTCTCCACTATTTGTGGATTTTAGTTCATCAGAGCTGCTAGACAGGGTTACCTTGTCCCCTATCCTCATGTCATGCAGTTGTTTAGGTTGACCTTGTATAGGGCTCCCATTTTTCGAGCCAATACCTGTAGTAAGCTCGTTAATATCGAGCTTCCCTGAAACTGGTTCGTAGCCCAGTTCGAGCCCAACAAAAAAAATCGTCTGAATGGCTTCTTGGGCAGCTTCTTGTCAACTCAAAGGATCTTGAACTCTAAAAAAAGTCTTTGACTTTAAACCAATCATTATCAATTCTGATTATTGTCAATTGAGACTTAAAAGTAGCTAAGATTGAAGATGAGAGGTGGACAGATGGTCGCAAAAAAAGATTTCGTTTTGAACAATTGTGGTCATGTGAACGCTTGTGTTGATGTTATACGTAACTGTTGGCAGATAACAATCAATGGTTCTGGATTTCAACAATTTACTAATAAAATAAAAGCTTGTAGAGTAGGTCTTCTAAAGTGGAAAAAGGAGTCGATTGGGAATATATTCATGAGCAACTGAGAATTAATAGAGAAAAGATGAATGTCTCGAAGACAGGAGTAGATGACAGAAAATACCAAGGAGGAAATCAAAGACAAATCAATTGTTGCAAAAAGGAGAGCTAATGTGGAAGCAAAGGTCGAAGGCCCATTGGTTGCAAGGAGATAAGAATACTAGATACTTTCATGCCCAGGCAAAGTCTTAAACGTCGAAGAAACATGATCAGAGGGTTGAGAGATGTTCAGGGCAGATGGACAACTGACAAGAGACAAATGGAATACATAGCAGTCTTTTACTTTCAGCAGTTATTTGAATCTGATTATCCTGCTCAAGATGCGATTGAGAATGTGGCATGCTGCGTGCAAAGTAAAATAACTCCCCGATGAACCAGATGCTTCTTAGAGAGTTTTAGGCCTGTGAAGTGGTTGAAGCTTTATCTCAAATCCATCCCTCAAAATCCTCGTGTCCAGACCGAATGGGCGCAAATTCCCATCAGAATTGCTGGGACACTTTTGGTGGAGATTGTTGGACTAAAGCAGTTTTGTAGAAATAAAAATTGATTCTTAGTCGACTTTGAGTCTAAATTAAAGTGAGATCCACTCACCGTTTTAAGTAAACTTTCATGAGTTCGTGTTATACTTCGTGCTGAGAGTAACGTAGTATATTCACTTGTTCAGATCAAATAAGAGGTGATTAAGAAAATAGGCTCCAAAAATGTGAAAATAGAGGTTGAGATAATATGAGATTTAACACCCATCGGTTGGGCAGGAAACTTTACATGAATATATAATATATACATATCTCAAGTTTGCTTTATGAGTTGGGCCCCAAGGGGCATTGCAATTTTGTGGATGGATGAAGACCTAGATGGTCTTGGGTTCAACTATATACGTTGCCACTTTTTGCTTGGGCCTTGGGCGTGGTTTAGATTCAACTTTATTTTTTTTTCGAGAAAATTCGGTTATGAAATGGATCTTTAATTTCTTAACTAAAATTTAATTTCTCCCTGTTGGAATTCAAATTCGCATTAGCTTGAATTGAAACTTCCCTTTAGTCTGCAATTTAAAATTGTGTCTATTCATTACTGGGTAGACATCAACGATGTTTTCTGGGTTGCATCAATTCGGATGATAGCTATCCAGAATAATCACTATTCTATCTATATAAATCCAAAACCATTTTGCATTATGAACTTACAAGATTACGGATTAGAAATAAGGCGGCCATTACATTCATCATTCTCATAGATTAACACTCTACATTTCTAAGAGTACACAACATGATTCTGGTTTGCTAATCAATCAAATTAAAGTGTTACTTCTGATTACGTGAAGATCATTGTATCTTGGGAGACATACGTCAATATTTTTATTAACACCAATGTGGAGGCAAAATTTAATTTAAAGACATAACGTCAAATACTAGCATTGATCTACAAAATTCAATCTTTGTTCCTAGTCTGCAAACGAGTCATATTGCAGTTTATGTGTTATTGTTTGTTCTAGTATGTTACTGTTTTGCTCTTAATGACATCAACAAATTTAGTATATTTGGAAGTTCAATATCATTCAAGAATGTCAATTAGTAATTCATCATATTGATATCACTCTACCAACAGAAACGTTACACAATTGGTCTTGGGATGTCTAAACTCAAACAAGTTTTGATTAAAATTGAATTATACCAATATTGAGTACAATCAGTGGAAGATATGACCCAATTTCAACCGATAAGCTTATGCAATGTGGTGTACAAGCTTTATAGCAAAGGTTCTAGCTAATCATCTAAAGAAAGTGTTATCACATGTTATTTCGGAGTATCAAAGTACCTCGTTGATCGTTCAATTATAAATAATATTTTAATTGCTTATAAACTAAATCATTTCTGCGAAGAAAAAGATAAGGTCAGCATGGATATATGTCGCTACAGCTAACCATGAGCAATGCATATGACTTGGTGGAATGAAATTTTTTAGATGCCATGACGTGGAAGCCGGGTTTTGTGGATAGGTGGATTTAGTTGATTTTGATGTGTCTGGACTGTGACTTTCTCTTTGGCTATGAATCGGGAGCAGTCTAGGGGTTTTTGGACCTAAGAGGGGTTTGAGGCAAGGTGATCCATTATCATGGTATTTGTTTCTAATTTGTGTCGAAGGATTTTCAAGGATTATGAAGGATGCAGAGAACAGAGGAGTTCTATAGGGCTTTTCAGCAGGCAAGGGTGGACCTTCTTTCTCCCATTTATTCTTTGCAGACGATAACCTATTGTTTGCAAAGGCGACAATGCTACAGATATTAGAGATTATCTCCGAATATATGAAAGAGCTTCTGGTCAAAAAATTAATCTGAATAAATCAGCATTAGTCTTCAGCAGAAACTCCTCGTCGCTAGAAGTGGAAGAGATCCAAAGAATGTTAGACTTCCAGATACTTATAAGTCATGATAAATATCTAGGGCTTCCTTTAGTTACTAGGAGGTCTAAGAAGGCGGTTTTTGGTCTTTAAGGGAAAGGGTGTGGAATAAGGTGCAAGGGTGGCATACAAAAAAGTTGTTGAGGGCAGGGAAAGAGGTGTTGATTAACGCAGTCGTTCAATCGATCCCAACTTACGCCATGCCATTCGTTAAATTACCAATGTTGTGTTCAGAAATGCGATCAATGATGGCATGGTTTTGGTGAGGGTAGTCAAGATTCCCGAAGAGAATGTTCCTGATTTTTCAAGTTTGGTTTCTGCGACGCAAAACAAATTTAAACACATTTGTCACGCTAAAAAAACGTCGCTAAATTAAATCATTCGNTTTGCGACGCAAAAAAAATTTAAACACATTTGTCACGCTAAAAAAACGTCGCTAAATTAAATCATTCGCAACAAAAAAATTAATGACACCAAAAAAAAAATTAGCAGAATCATTTGCGATGCTCGTAGTTTCATCGCAAAAAAATTAATTTTTTAAAAAATACCCCTTAAAAAATAACGTTCTGATAAAATTTGTTACCTATTTTCAATCAATCGAAAACAATAGTAATACCCGTGTCACATTTTTTTTTTTTTTTANTCTGCGACGCAAAACAAATTTAAACACATTTGTCACGCTAAAAAAACGTCGCTAAATTAAATCATTCGCAACAAAAAAATTAATGACACCAAAAAAAAATTAGCAGAATCATTTGCGATGCTCGTAGTTTCATCGCAAAAAAATTAACTTTTTAAAAAATACCCCTTAAAAAATAACGTTCTGATAAAATTTGTCACTTATTTTCAATCAATTGAAAACAATAGTAATACCCGTGTCACATTTTTTTTTTTTTTTTTTATCAAAAATCAACTCAACTAATACATGTCACATGTTTTCCATTAAACAACTAACACAAACAAGCATCAAATACCGTCCAAACAAAAACATATGGTACAAATAACACAATAAAGAATATAAGTACACTTAACCTTTCATTCATAAAACTTATACAAGTCATCAAAGTATCTGACAATTTAATCCACATACATGTTTTCAAAAATATTTAGATAAATAACTAAGTTAATTCTTTAGTTTAAGTGCAGAAATTCATCTGTTACAAAAAAGGAAAAATACATTAACAAGTCATCAATAAAATTTTCCAAANTAACAATTTAATCCACATACATGTTTTCAAAAATATTTAGATAAATAACTAAGTTAATTCTTTAGTTTAAGTGCAGAAATCCATCTGTTACAAAAAAGGAAAAATACATTAACAAGTCATCAATAAAATTTTCCAAATACATACATATTCATCCAAATATAAAATTATCAAGTTCGTTGTGACAACTTAACTAGATCTTGGTGGCCGACTGGTCTTGCTGCCCACCAGAGAGGTTTTTCAAAAAGTTAACACCCTTTACAGGTCATTTCGAAGGACTTTGGGATAATACATTTGTGTCTTGCAGTCAAAGTCATCTTTCGGGATTCAAAATGATTCACGGTTTGTTCCTACAAGTTTGTTGTGACAAGGTTGTGGTGGTTGTCAAGTTTCCGTGGCCACCGGTGAGATTTTTCACAAAGTCGCACCCTAACGGGATGTTTTTCTTCAAGCTCTCAAACTGGGTCTCGGATTGAAATGTCGTCTTTTTCTACAACTTTCTATGCACAAATTGTTGGTCTTTTTCTGTTTGTATGAGAAACGGAGCACAAACAGGCTGATTGGGATCTTTAACTCCAAGTCTAAGGTTTTATAATTCTTAAGTGTGAAAATTTCTAATTTTTGTCAAACTCTCAAACTAGGTCTTAGATTGAGAAGTCGCCTTTTCCTACAAGTTTTTATGCTCAAACAGTAGATATATGTCAGTTTTCATCACAAATAGAATGAAACCGGACTTATTGGGATCCTTAACTTAAAGTTTAAAGTTTTCTAATTCTAAAGTATTGAAATTTTTAGTTTATCATCAAACTTTCAAACCAGGTGTCAGATCGAAATTCTATCTTTTTCTACAAGTTTTATGCCCAAATAATAGGTCTTCGTCCGTTTTCATAGTAAACTGTGTGGAAACGGGGTTAGTGGAACCCTTAGCACTAAGTTTAAGGTTTTATAATTCCTAAGTGCAGAAGTTTCTAGTTTTTTGTCAAACTTATCAAACTAGGTTTCCGATGAAGACGCCGTCTTTTTCGACAAGTTTCTATTTTCGTCAAACTAAGGTTTTTTGATGCTCTAAATCCATTTTTAATGCTATTTTCACCAAAAGATCCTTAGTACATTACTTAATCAATTTCTCCCAAACATGATCACAACCAAATCAATCAATTCTTTTTGAGTCCCACATCATTCATGCAACACGAAATAACACTGTTTACTCGAATTAAATTTTTAATAATAATTCAACAAATCTATCATAATATATAAATATTCTATTATTTAATTCTAACAAATGTACAGGGTTTTACAATATCACAAAACATTTAACTGAAATTCAGGATATTTCTTGCCAATGTACACTAATATGAAACAAGAGGCAGCATTGAAGCTTAACTTCTACTACATTTTGTGCATAGAAAGTATGAAACATTAGGATTACACTATAGATATTTTATATTTCAATCCCTCAATTATATGCTATGCCTCATATTACCCCCATCAACTATCAAGTTTCTCATACTGCATTCCCAGGTATGGATGTTTCCAATTGCAAGCATTGAAAATGTTTATTTTACTGCACAAATGTACATTTGGTTGGGGAGTGAAGTGAAACCCAATCAAACAATTGAGGGAGTAATATGAGAAACGAATAACAAGACAATATTTGAGGGGTCAAAGTATAATTTTCCATTATGTTTTGGTTGGTTTAGGCGGTTCAACAATGTATTGTCCAATAGCTGCAGCTAAAGCTGCCATAAGGTTGGGATCCTTAGTTATGGAAACAACATAGTCTTCAATGTTACTGCAGTTTCTGCTGGTGTTGTAGTCTTCTTCTCTATTCTTAAATGGCATCCCACTCTCTTTAGTCGTCCCAGAAAGCGTAAGATCAAGGGTAAGATTTGGTTGAATAGGATTATCTGCAATTGGACAGGAACCTCGAATGATCGAGCGAACGGGTGAAGATGAAGATTTCCCAACTGCACCATGTCCATGGTTGTGTTCTCCTTCATAACTCGCAACTATAACAGACTCGTCCTCCATGCTTCTCTGGACCTAAGGCCCGGATCAGATCACAAAACATAGCATTTTCAGTTGGAATGCAGCCATTATTTATTTTTTTCACATTGCACATTTCTCATACATCAGTTATAGCCATCCCGAATACAATGGCCTTGTGATGNAGAGATTTTTAGGGGTTGAGTGATTGACAGTGGTTTAGGGGTAAACTAGAGAAAACTCTTACCGGCCCGGGGGGGGGGGAAGCCTGCTCAGGTGGGTTGATGGAGGTGGTGTCAGGCATGTGGGTTTTGCAATGGTGTAGCTCGATTTCAACGGTGGTGGATTGTGGAGCTCGATTCCAGAAGTGGTGGGTGGTGGATCTCGATTCCAACAGTGGTGGATAGTGGCGCTCGATTCCAACAATGGTGGGTGGTGGCGCTTGATTCCAGCGGTGGTGGGTGGTCGATGGCTGGAGAAGGAGATAGAGAGATGGGTTGGTCAGTGGCTAGAGAAGGAGAGAGAGAAATGGTCTGGTCGTAGGTTGGAGAAGGGGAGAGAGAGATGGGTTGGAGAAGAGAGAGAGCAATGACTAAAATGTCCAAGGTTTTGAGAGTATAATGACTAAAATGTCCCTTAATACCCGACATTTTCCTTTAGGTTTTTTTGGACGGAAGTCAGGGGTGAGGAGTAAAGTGGGTCCATGTGTAAATGTTGAGAATGAAATCAAAAATTTAAGGACAAAAGTGTAATATGTGTAAAATTTTAGGAACTATTGGTGCCTTNACGAAATTAAAAGTTTAAGGACGAAAGTGTAATATGTGTAAAATTTTAGGAGGTGCCTTTTACCCTTTTTTAAACCTTATAGCATGGTGTACCAAAAACCACAATAAGATGCATCTGGGCTTCAAGGGGTGGTATCATATCAATACATATATACATAGCCATCGTTTTTCTTGGGGAAAAGGGTTTTGATTTATTTTTAGTACAAAAAAGGCTTCCCTGTTGCTTCTTGATTTCGACTCAAGCCTACGTTTGCTTGGTAAGCTTAAACACACTAATATCTCCTCCACAAAGGTGAAATCATTTCTTACTTTTGAGAAATAAGTTTGAAGGGGTGGTGACAAACATAACAAGTTTGATTGTAGGATATATATTTGATTGTTTCACGTTAACCTCTTCATTTTTTCACAACATGAGTGGAAATCGAGAAACGCAAAATTTTACGGCTCTCTTGACTGATGAAGTTGTCCTCCATGAAGGCTACTTAAGATGCCGCCTCTTGTTTTAGTACATCAGAAAATGTATTCCAAAAGTTCAATCACATTACATCATGTGACCAAACAACTTTTCCAATCAATAATAACTGTGCGTGTAAGATCCTGCACAATATAAAAAATGAGAACAGATCTCTCCCTTGGTGAACTTGAGTGAACCAGTTGAGTGACCAACCACGCTGCTTGGAACAGCCTGCGAGGTCCGGTGGTAACCTAGAACGGCAACGGGAGACCCTGGGGGAGCGGAAGAACGATCCAGTAAGGCTGAAAGAGGTTCCTGGAACAAAGAAGAACAAGTTAGAAGGGCGCCGGAGTGTTTTCCGGCGTATCCCCTCCGACGATCTAGTCAGTCTTTGAGAGAGAGAGAGAGGAAGGAGAAAACACTGAGTGTGTATTGTAGTAAAGAGTTTTTTGTTGCATACCCGTCTTGCCTTTTGCAAGGAGTATTTATACCTCAAAAGCTCATGATTGCTGTCAGTGTAGTCAGTAGGTGATCATTAGGTACAGGCAGTGTGCGCACTGATTCTGATGAGGAATGTCTTCTCTTCTTAACTGCTCGGGGTCCCGAGCAATCAATGCTGGGTCATCGGGATGCCGACGGTACAATGTACTCCTCTCGGGGAGGATGCAATAAATGCTCTGTATTAGGAGCATTTATTGCCTTTCATTTTCGAGCCTTACCGCATTGAATGCGGTCTCATCAAGGGAATGGTGTAATTAATCGTTTGCTTTCCCAAGTCGCGTGTCAGCAACGGCATGCGGTTTCTCTGTCTTCGATGTGATATCATACGCCACGCGTCCATCCCCCATTGGCTGTGGCCCCTGCATTCCAGTACGTTCTGACACTAATTGTGTAAGACGAGGTCATGATGAATAGCCTAGACTAGCCTAGGCTAATGACCTGTACGTCAATAGCTTATCCTGGAGTAGAGGAAGCGTCCAGGACGGGGTACCTCTCGGCACCGAGGAAAGGCTCATCTCGGAACCGAGGGAGGTATACCGACCGAGGTACCATATCAGACCGAGGCTACGTGTTGGTTGTAAAACGTACTGAATGCCATGATCCTATATGACGAGTACCTCGGGGGCGAGGACCTTTATGCGCCGATGGTGCTTGATCTTAGCAACAGTGTTTTGGTAAATACCGAGGACACGTGTCTTCATCATGGAGTATTTCAGAAAAGTCCCATCAACTGCCCCCCAGCCTTCGATCTTCTGACACCGAGGGCACGCGTCGTAAGGAGACGAAGGGTTTCCCAACAACCACAAATGCTTCATCATTGCCTCGAGCCGCTTTCCCCGGCTTAGGATGTCGTGTGCATTAAATGCGTCGTTTCGTTTTTCGCGCCCAATGATGAAACAACCACTATATAAATGGGGTTCCTCTTGCATTTTCTTGTTTCGCCATTCCGAACTTCCTCAAGAGAGCCTTTTCCTGAATCTTCGCCGGAGATCTCTTTCCTCTTCCATCGTCGACTGCCCATTCTTCCTTAAAGTCTTAAGGCCAGCAGACCCATCGTTGCTTCTGAACTTTCTGGAAGGAGTCGCCTAAAGTTTTCCAGAAAAAACTCCGTTTGGCATTCGGGTGAGTCCTAGTTTCTTTCTTCTTTTCTTCCTCCTATCCCTTTTTGTTTTCCGATGACTGGAGGTGTCTCCGGTTGATACTTAGCGACTAATCCTCGGGAAGCTTCCTCAGGGATTTTTAAGAAAAAACACCCTCCACTTTCTCACTTTCTTAGAGATGCCTCGTCGTCGCCCTGCTCCCGAGAATCCTCAGGCTGGTTTTCGGGGTCGGGAAAGTATAAAGTAAAGGGTGATGAGCAGATTAATAGGTTTAAGGTCAAGTACGGCATTCCCCCGTGCGTAGACATAGAGGATTATGACTCGGTGGTGCACTCTCCTACCCTCGGGGCCGAGGATGCTATGCCCTTTTATACCAAGGCCATAATAGAGGGCGGAATTAGGTTTCCTTTACCCCCTTTACTTCTTCAGTTCCTCTCTCACTTCCGCCTCTTCCCCCGGGCAATGTTGCCTTAATGTCTTCAGAATAATTATGGGGGTCTTAGAGCTCAATAGGCGCCTCGGGGTAAATATTGGGCTGAACGATCTCCTTTTTTGTTATTCCCTCTTGAGAGTCATGCCTCACCAACACTTCTACCTCAAGGCCAGGGACCCCTCCATGTACCTTGTAACTCATCTTCCCGACTCGGACAAGGGGTACAAGGACGATATTCTTATTTTCAAGAGATCTTGGCAGAGAGGTGTTGCTCCCGAGTATAGCGACTTGTTATGCCCTCTGGAATGGAGAACGACAAGTACGTCGATTCCTTCGGGTTTATTATTTCGTTCTCCAGATTTCCCATGTTCATGACTACTTTTTTTGTTTGTGCAGATATCCCTGCTCGGGAAATAGCTCCTCCCCCTCGGTCGCGGGTGAACTTTGCCGACCTAATCGCGATTTGGAGATTTACTGGTGACAACAGGTTCGGCCGGGCTGCCCACATCCTGCTGAATTACACCCCCGGGTATAAGAAATTTTCACAGCTTCCTCAGCCTTTTGAGTCTTCGCAGTGGTCTGAACTTTTCGATTAGGCGGCGAGGCAGGAGGTCGAGGAAAACTTGGAGGAAAACCCTGATCGGGCTTCGGAGGCAGAGGTAGAGGGAGTAGTTGAAGAGCTCGGGGTCAGAGAGGACTTTGTTCCTTCGGACGCCGAGGTGGGGACTTCGGGAGGAGATTTGTGGCCGGACTTCCAAGTTCTACAATCTCTAGACGCCGAGGACGCCCTCGAGGTCGCGATGTCCAGCACGCCTCGTATTGACCTAGGGTTCCTGAGGCAGAGGCAAGCCCTTGCTGTCGGGAGGGGTCGAGGATTGACCGACGGTGCCCCCTCTGCAGGGACCAGTTCCACCCCATCCTCAAGAGTTCTCAGTCAGGGTCAAGTGCGTGACCGGGATCCTCAGGTAGAGGAGGAGAGAAGGGTCAAACATAGGCACGATGGCCTCGACAGAGGATCCAAGGCATCTTCCGCTCAGCAGCAAAGCGGGAGAGGCCGTGGGTTACCCCCTGCTCCTCCGCAACAGCAGCAACAACAACAACAACGACAACAGCAACAACAACGGCAGCAACAAACNATTAGCAAAGCGGGAGAGGCCGTGGGTTACCCCCTGCTCCTCTGCAACAGCAGCAACAACGACAACAACAACAACAGCAGCAGCAGACTCCCCCTTCCCTTCCGCCGATAGTGGAAGCCGCGGAGTGGAATCCCCGAGCCACCGATCACATGAACCGAGTGATCAGGGTCGATGATTCCATTTTGCTGGATCCTCATGTCGCCAATGCAGTGAGTGAGACACTGCATTTCGAGGCTGACATAGCGGCTCACAGGGGGCGATCAACGAACGTGTTGTTCCGCTCTATCATCCAGAATTTCCTGGTGGTAAGTTCATTTTTGCTTTGGTTTCTTCTCTCTCGCTTTCCATTTTTGTGACATGCCTTTCTACCTTCTTTGCAGGCTACCCAACAAATCTCCATAATAGCTGCGCGGTACCATGGGTCTAGGATGGACTTCCAGCGGGCCCGAGAGCAGAAAGAAGAAGCGGAGGGGGCCCTCGCCCGAGCAATGGAGGACGTAGCTGCCAGGGATTCTACCCTGGCGGGGCAGGCTGCTCAAATCGAACAACTCCTCAAGGATGCCGAGTCGGCTAAGGTTGGCGCTGAAAAGCTAAGTGTTGCCCTTACTGATGCTGAGGGGAGGATCACCGAGCAGACGCAACGGCTTTCTGCCGCGGAGGAGAGGGCGGTTGGCTCAGAGAAAAGCTGTCTAGCTCTCACCCAGGAGCTGGACAGGATCAGAGCCGA